ATAGCTGGGCATAGTGGCTCATGCCTTTAATTCCAGAGGATAGAAGTTCGAGCCCATGGGGCTGGGAAGGTGGCTCAGTGGTAGAGCGCTTGCCTTGCATGCCTGAGGCCCTGGGTTCCATTCCTCAGCACCACATAAGCAAAAAGAAAAAAAGCCGGAAGTAGCGCTGTGGCTCAAGTGGTAGAGCGCTAGCCTTGAGCTGAAAAGCTGAGGGACAGCGCCCAGGCCCAGAGTTCAGGCCCCACAACCGGACCCAAAAAAAAAAAAAAAGTTCAAGCCCAGCCCAGGCAAAAAGTTAAAAAGACTCCATCTTCATCAATAAGCTGAATGTGGTAGTGCCTGCCTGTCATGTTAGCAACATAAGTGCTACATCCAGAAAAGACAGTAACCTGGGCCTTCCCTGAGCAACAATGTGAGATCCATTTAGGGAAATAACTAAAAAGGGTTAGGGGGCACTGCTCAAGTGGTAGAGTATCTAGCTTGCAAGTACAAGCCCCTGAATTCAAATCCCACTCCCAATCTGAAGAAACTGAAGGAGGATGATTAGGGAGGAGTGGGGCCTCACCAATCTGGCAGCAAATCTTTAATTTTCTCCACCAGGCCGAGGGAAGGATCCAGCTGGAGGAACCAGGCAAGCTGGATTGCACTGAAGAGAAACAACCAGCTGAGGGGGCTGGCGGGAAATACACCAGTCAGAAAGTCATTCTGTGGAGAGAAAGGGTATCCACTCACTCCTGTGTTCCCCTCCTCCGAATGCATGAATGGTGCAGTGCTCAGCTATCTCAGAATACCAGGGGATTCTAAGGTCCAGATGCAGTGGGAAACAGACACCTTCCTTCCCCTCCCCGCCTCCAGCCCATTAGTCCAAGCCCTGAATGAAGCCAGGGCCTGAGGCAAGGGCACAAGAAACAAAGAAGGCCTGTCTCGGGTGGCTCACACCTGTAATCCTAACTACTGAGGAGGCTGAGATTTGAGGATCATGGTTCAAAGCCAGCCTGGGCAGGAAAGTCCGTGAAACTATTATCTCCAATAAACCACCAGAAAACTGGAAGTGGCACTGTGGCTCAAATGGTAGAGCACTCGCTTGAGCTGAGGAGCACAAGGCTAGTGCCCAAGCCCAGAGTTCAGGGGGGGGGGGGGGGGGGGAAGAGGAGGAGGAGGAGGAAACAAAGAAGAGCCCTAAATTGGGAGGGAGTCTGGGAGGGCTTCCTGGAGGAGGTAACTGTCAGGCAGGCGCTTGAAACAAGATGACTAACAAAACCAATCCCAGGAACAGCACAGGCCTTCTAGACCTACCAGGTCTTGGACACAAATTTGCTACCCATATTCCCAGTAGCATGGCCGACAGCTAACACCCAGCGTACATCTACTGTATGCCAGATGTTGCTTATGAGGATCAATTTTCTTTTTAATTTTTCAGTGCTGGCAATGAAATCCCAGTTCTTGTGCATGCTTTACCCCTTGGACCACTTCCTCAGCCCTCTAATTTGTATTTTGTTGTTGAGAACTATCATTGCCTTGTAGTGGGCCAGGTAGGGGAGGATGAGTAGAGACTCAAATGAACATTCTGCCTGCCCTACTGTACCCCCAACATTGCACCCCCCCCCCAATTTGGGCTTGAATTCAGGGCCTTGGCACTGTCCATGAGCTCTTTTGCCTGTCAAGGAGACCACTCTACCATTTTGAACCACAACACTACTTCCAGTTTTCTAGTGGTAAATTGTTAATGAGTCTCACGGACTTTCCTGCTTACACTGGGTTAGAACCACGATCCTCAGATCTCAGCCTCCTGGGTAGCTAGAATTACAGGAGTGAGCCACCAGCACTCATCTGAGTTCTAGACCTTGGGAAGAGTATGGGGAGCGGTGAGTGAGTGCAGAGGTGATGCGCGAGGCTGAGACCCCAGAAAGGAGCCACAAGGAAATAGCCTAAATGGGCCCTAGAGGGCGACCTCCAGGTCCCCAGACGGGCCCTCCCTCACACGGGAAGTGAGCCTTAGCATCCGGGAAGCAGGACACGGGATGCCTGGAGGGACACCAGCCAGCAGTGCTTCGCACCCAGAATCGCCCCAGGTTCCTTCTCCAAGATCGCAGGCTGCACAGGTAGATCTCCTGCAGCATGGAGCAGCCCAGCCTGGCCTGTGCTCCGTCTGATGGCAGCCATGGTGGGAAGTCGGCAGCCTGGCGCGCTTCCGCCATGGCGCCCCAGCCCTAGGAGGAAGGCAGAGGGTCATCCTCAGGTCTTCACCCCTCCTCCCTCAGACCCAGGGATCCACACCCCAACTTCTTCCCTCAGAAGCAGGGGTCCAGACTCCAGCCTCCTCCTTCAAACACAGGGGTCCTTGGCCCTAGTCCTCTTCCTTCAGACCCAGGGTGCACTCCCCAGCCTCCTCCCTCAGTCCAGGCATCCAGGCCTCAGCCTCCTCCCTCAGACCCAGGGTTCCACACCCAGCCCAATTCTCACACCCAGGAATCAGACAGGACCCCAGCCCCCTTCTTCCCTAGGGGTCTGGGCCTAGCCTCTTTCCACCTCAAACCAGGACTTTTCGGGGTCAGCTCACCCTTCCCCTAAGTACCTGCCGGGTCTTTAGGGTCCTGGATGGAGACCCAAGGCTGGAGGCGAGACGTTACACGGGAACCTCTGTGGAGGCAGAGGGAGGAAGCAGGAGGGTGGGCTCACGTTAACCCTTTTAGCTCTTCGGTGGAGAACAAAGTAGGCGGACAGCGCCCCCTCCCCACACACGCTCAAGACTCCGGGGTGGGGGAAGAAAACTGGTCCCTGATCCCGAGGCAGGGGGGAGGTGATACTAGTTTAGAACCATTGAAACGGACACCTGCCGGACGTGGACACGCTCTCCACTTCATTTCCGGTTCCCATTCTCAAGCAGGGGCGTGAGGAGTCTATAAATTCATCGGTTCTGGGAGGAAGCCAGGGCCCCCTTCCCCGCTGGGGGGGAAGGAGAGGGGGGGAGGGCGGGAGCACCCTCCTGCGCATGCGCGCGGCCAGGGACGCTGAGCCTGAGAACCGAGCGATGGAGAAGCCCAACCCGGGGACCCCCGCCTCCAGCCCGGTCCCGTCGGCCCACTAGTTACACCGAGCCAGGAGTCTGCCGGTCGGATCCTGGGGACCCAGCCCAAATACACCCCCTCACCCTCACCCCCGATCTGAAGCTCAGTATCCCTTTTGCATATGTCCAATCCCTACGCGACTTCAACGACGCGTCCTGGCCAAGGGTCCTCCAGAGCCCGACTCACCTCCAGCATCGCTCGGCCTGCCCGGGAACCCGGGTTCCGGTTTTGTAGGAGCCTAGCCCGGTATTCCAGTCCCCGGTTCTGTCCCCGCCCCCTTCCCAGCTGGGCCTTCTAGCCCCGCCCCCTCCCAATTCTTCTGCGTTCTATCCCCGCCCCCTCCGATGTCTTTGCATTCTATTCCCGCCCCCTCCGGTCCCTCTGCGTTCTGCTCCCGCCCCCAGGAAACAGCATCCAATCACCTTCCTCGGCTTAAGCCTCCCCCTTCTCCCCCCCCCCCCCCCCCCCCCCCCCCGCCGCCCTGCCTCTCTACCTACCGCCTGCCTGATTAGCCACCACGCATTCGCTGCTCGCCGCGTGCTGAGGATCCCAGCTCCGCGTTGTTCAGCTCCAGCTTGCGTCCGCTGGGAGAGACCCAGGCCTGGCACGGGTCAGGCTTGTGGAACACTAGCCCGATGCTGCTACCCGAGAGAGGGATGAGACCCCTGGGAGTCAGGGGGCTCCATCCAGACTCCCAGGGAAGGTACTTGGTCTGAATTGCTCCCAGGAGATGCTCCCGGGGATTGGATTTAAGCAACACAGCCAGAGACTTCCATGAACGAAAAGGAGCATGGAGGCGTAGAGAAGGGCCTATTTAACTTGGCTCAGATAGAATAGGTGCAAAAAGGCAGAGGCAGAACTATCTTATTCAGCTTTGGACGTTGCCGTTCTCGTCCAGGCTTGGGCAGGTGACCCTGGGGTCCAGTCCAGTCAAGGCCTGGGAGGAGAGATGTATTAAGAAGCTAGTACTGGGCTGGAACAGTGGCTCAGTGGTAAAGTGCTTGCTTTGCATGCATGAGGCCCTGGGTTCAATTCCTCAGCACCACATACGCAGAAAAAAACAGGAGCGGCACTGTGGCTCAAGTGGTAGAACGTTAGCCTTGAGATGAAGAGCTGAGGGACAGCACCCAGGCTGAGTTCAGGCCCCAAGACCAACAAAAAGCTAGTACTAGGCCCAGTACACAAATGGGCATACTGAGGCCAGGTGAGTAGTAGAGATGTGCTTCCTTGTTCCTGCCTGTAGCTATCCAGGTCCTGGGGCTTATGGCTGACCTTTGGGAGGGCTGCTCAGTGATTTCTCACAGGCAGTGAGTTTGACATGTGTCTGGGGAACAGAGGTGGCCACACGTTGGGATGCCTGTTGCCAGGGCTGCCTGGCTGTAGCATGGGAAATACTGGGTTTCAAGAGAACCCACCCCAGAAATGGAGCACAGGAGTGGGGACCTACCAGTGCTTAACGATCTCTACCCACTGTCAGGCACCAGGGGCTCACACCTATAATCCTAGCTCCTCAGGAGGCTAAGATCTGAAGATCCTGGTTCAAAGCCAGCCTGGGCAGCAAAGTGCATGATACTCATCACCAATAAACCACCAGAAAACCAGAAGTGGTGCTGTGGCTCAAGTGGTAGAGACTTAGCGCTGATGGGATGCAGCAACTCACCGCCCCCTCCCCCAGATCCTTGTGTGCTGGCAACCAGGGCCTGCCCCCACTCCCCAGGGAGAGAAATCGGAGGCCAAATGTGTAGATGCCACATGTCATGTCAGATGGTCAGGACTCAAACCTGGATCCCTGCTCCGTATCCTGTAGCCTGGAGCATCACTAAGTATGTGGGGCCTCATTGCAGCTTTATCTCCCCCCTCCTCACCACCCAGCTGCACCTTAGTGAGTGCACAGAGAACCCTGGCCCACGTTGTACCCAGGAAGCCATGCTGGGCCACAGCTGAGGATTTATTGGCGTAAATGCAACCATATAAAAACATAAGTTATGAAAAAACACAGTCACGATGTGCCCTCCCCATCCCCCCATCCCAGGCCCCTAAGATCCCCCTTCTGTGGGAGGGAGAGGAAAAGGGGACACCACCTAGGGTGCCCCCTCTCCCCCCGTGGACGCCCCTGGACCCCCGTGGGGTCCCTAGTGGGCAGGGCGGTGGAGAAGGTGGGCAGGTGGGTTCCGGCTCAGCGCATCCGGTAGTCCGTGGAGCAGGACAGCTCACACAGCTGGCCCTTGAAATCCAGGTCGATGGTGAAGTCCAGGTCGCGCTGTGGGGAGAAGGCAGTGTGAAATGCAAAGGACCCCATCTGCAGCAGATCTCGTCCTGCCATTTCTTTTCACATTCTTGCTATACATTGCAAGCTGATCTCAAACTTTTTTTTTTTTGTCAGTTATGGGGCTTAAACTCTGGGCCTGGGCGCTGTCCCTCAGCTCTTCAGTTCAAGGCGAGCGCTCTACCAGTTGAGCCACAGCACCACTTCCGGTTTTCTGGTGGTTTACTGGAGATAGGAGTCTCACGGTCTCTCCTGCCTGGGCTGGCTTTGAACCGAGATCCTCAGATCTCAGCCTCCTGAGTAGCTAGGATTACAGGCGTGAGCCACCAGCGCCCGGCTTCAAACTTTTTTTTGTTTTTTTGCCAGTCTTGGGGCTTGAACTTGAGGCCTGAGTGCTGGTCCTGAGCTTTTTCCCTCAAGGCTAGCACTCTAAGCCACAGCTCTGACTTCCCTGGCAATAAGAAGTCTCATCAACTTTCCTGCCAGGTCTGGCTTTGAACTGGGATCCTCAGATTTGAGTCTCCTGAGGAGCTAGGATAACAGGCATGAGCCACCAGCATCCAGCTTTGGCCTCAATCTTTTGACCTTCCTTTTTCAGAAAGAAAATGGGCTGTCAAACACATCCATGTCTAGAGGGCCCAACTGCAGCCCCCATTTCCCTCTTGCAGGTTTCCTCTCCATGATGGAGCAAGTGGGTACTGGAGTTGCCCTGCCTGGCAGGGTGGCCCTAACTGGCTCAAGGATACCTTGGGCTGCTCTGTTCTGGGTCACCTGGATGGTGTCCAGCCCAGGCCACTCCCCTCAGCTGTGGCTCCTGATCTCTGTCCTGTTGCATTAGCATCTCCTGGCCTCAGTGGGCCTCCCAGTGACAGCCTCCTCCGCTCCCCTGTGTGCAGATGGCAATGCACACAAGCAGGTGCTCAGGAGGAAAAGGGAAAAACCAGAACAAAAAGCATCTCCGTGCTCAGCCACTTGAGCTGGGGATGGCAAGCTGGACACCTGTCACATGACCATTGCTCCAGCTACATGGAAGCCACCACCTCTTGCCTTTGTTTTTCTTTGTCATGGGGTTTGAACTCTGGGCCTGGGCGCTGTCCCTGAGTTCCTCAGCACAAGGCAAGCGCTCTACCACTTGAGAAACAGTGCCACTTCTGGTTTTCTGGTGGTTTATTGGAGATAAAGTCTCATGGACTTTCCTTCCCCAGGCTGGCTTTGAATTGTGATCCTCAGACCTCAGCCTCCTAAGTAGCTAGGATGACAGGCGTGAGCCAAAGGTACCCAGCTAGCTATGTGTTTTTTTGTTTTGTTTTCTGCTTGGTGATGGGGCTTAAACTCTGGGTCTGGGCGCTGTCCCTCAGCTCTATCAGCTCAACAGGAGCACTCTGCCACCTGAGCCACAGCACCACTTCTGGTTTTCTAGTGATTTATCGAGAGAAGGACTTTTACAGACTTTCCTGCCTGGGCTGGCTTTGAACCACGATCCTCAGATCTCAGCCTCCTGAGTAGCTAGGATTACAGGTGTGAGCCACCAGCGCCTGGCTTGCTTTTTTTTTTTTCAAGTCCCATCTCCCTTGCTGGCAATGGGGTGTCCTGACTTGGGTCTGACCAGGGCTGGGGCTCCTGGGCTCCGCCCTCCCCAGCCCTGCTCCCCCAGCCTCACGTTGTTCTTGGCGTTGGGCCGCATTCCGATGGTGCCGAAGATCTCCTCGCCTGTCTTCACGGTCAGGTAATCCTCCATGTAAAAGACTGTCTGCTTCCAGTGCGTGTACGGGGACTCGGGGCCTGGGGACCAAGCAGGTCAGATGCCTGCCTGCCACCCCTGCCCACCCGAGAGCTGTGGCCTCTGCCGCATACCCACCCCCAACAGCAGGCTGTGTTCCCTGTCTGTGAATCAGGCTTGGGACCCAGGGATCGCTGGCTATGTGTCTGTGGGTGAGGAAACTGAGGCACGGTGCACCGAGGACCCAGGAGCAGCCTCGTGCTCTAGGTGCATGGGCTGGGACATGGGTCACAGGTGCCCCCGTCTAAATCTCAGCCCCGGGAGTGCCCGCTGCCCGCAGCGGCCCTCACTGGTGGAGAAGCCGGTCCTCTTGTGGCAGCGGGTAAACTCAATGTTGAAGTAGGCCACCAGTGCATGCACGTAGTCGTTGCGTTTCACTTGCAGGCAGAAAGGTGAGGTGAAGGTGAGGTCTTCCACCTTGACCGTGTAGATGTCCACCTCCTGTGGGAGGGCAGGGCAGGGCCCCGAATGCTCAGAGCCCGCTGCTGGCTCCGCCCCTTCCTGGGTCCCTGCCAGGCTTTGCCTTTATCTAGCTGCCAAGGGGGCGGTGCCTGTGCCATTCCCCCTCCCCTTCCTTCCGGCATCCAGTGTGATGGCCCTTCCTTGCCACAGCCTGGTATGCCATCCCTGAGCTTTTCAACTCAAGGCGGTGCTCTACTATTTGAACCACACTCCATTTCTGGGTTTCTGGTGTTTACTTGGGGATAAGAGTCTCCTGGACTTTCCTGCCCAGCCTGAGTATAAACTGTGATCATCAAATAAATCTCAGCCTCCAGAGAAGCTGGGATTACAGGCATGAGCCACTGGAGCCTAGCAGGCGTGCTTTCCTTAACCCTTACCCTTCCTCCTTTCCCCAGGGATGGGATTACAGGCATACCCCCTCCATACTCTTCCCCCAGCCCCGTTTTATCCTCAGATAGCAACTACCAGATTAAGTCAAACCCTCCCTAAAACCCTGTGGCTCTGGTGTTCTTAGGCTGACTGCCAGAGGGCCCTTCTTTGCTGCCGGCCCCGAGGTCGATCTGCCATGCTGTTACCTTTATGAGGCAGGCATTGGTGACCAGCTGCTTCGGGTCCACGACGTCTACCAGGGGCTCCTTGATGGCCACATCTTTGATGCAGGACATGTCGAAGCCGTACACGTTCTCCCACCCTAGGGGAAGGCGGGTGGGTGAGCCCAGCCCTCCGTCCCCCCTGCACCCCGCCCCCAGCAGCCCCGCACTCACAGTGGATTTTGTAGTCTTTGTACTGCCGGTCCTCAATGGCCGTCACGTACAGGGTGGCCCGGTCTGGGAAGATGAGACCATCAGGCGCCTGCAGAGAGGTTGGGTGAGGTATGAGGGTCACCTTGGCAACAAGGCCCTCCCCACTGCCCTTCCCTGCCCTGGGCCTCTCCATTCCTACCCCAGGGCCTTAGCACTGGTTCTGCCCACCAAGATGCTGGTTCCAGCTCTGGTGCAAGTCTGTAATCTACCCTGAGCGCTGTCTGCCTTGTCTCTATACTGTATCAGAGCCAGGGGGCCTACTTATCTCCACTGCCTACATTGTATCAGAACTAGCTGGTCCACATTGTCTCCTCTTCCTGTCTCCCATCCTTCCATCCAGGTCTAGCTCAGCGGACCCTGCTCCCCTGGCTTGGCTGCTGGCCTTTCCCTCATGAATGTAGTCAGGGCTCTGGCACCAAGTCCCCAGTCTGGGGACCCCTCCTGGGTCCCCCACATCCTCACCAGCCACTTGTCTCGGGCGTACAGCACGGTGTTGAGCATGGATTCATAGAAGAGACAGTAACCCATCCACTCGCTAATGATGATATCCACCTTCTCTACGGGCAGCTCCACCTCCTCCACCTTGCCTTTGATGATGGTCACCACTGCAGGGAACAGCGCAGGCATGGGCACCAGGGTCAGGCACGGATAGGCATGCCTGCTCGCCACCCTGCATCTACAGCCTGGGACCCATGCATGGGGTGGAAGAGATGGGGACGGGTGGCTTTGGGACACCTTCAACTCTTTTCCATTTCTGGTCACCCAGGCCAGCCTTCAACTGGAGATCCTCCTGCCTCCCCAGTGCCGGGATTACAGGTGTGTATCACTGTACTTGGCCATCCTAGACATTTCTGAAGCAGCAGCAGCGGTTTTTTAAGGCCTGGCCATCAGGTGAGGATCGGACCTCATCATGGGGACCGAAGGAGTTGGGGTGTGGCATGCTCCATGCTGAGTTCAACCCCAGCCTTGGCCCACAAAAAAAATTAATTATCTGCTGGCTCCTGGATTTGATATAACAAACACAGTGTGGCCTCATGTTTTAGAGATGTGCACAGAAAGATTTACAGGGAAAACGATGTCAGTGGGAATTCACTCCAAATGCAGAGACTACTTAGAACTGAGAGAGAGGCACTCACTCAAGGGCCCATTCCAATACTCTTTAAAAAGAGCCCAGTGTCCTGCTCATCTCTGTAATCCCAGCTACTTAGGAGCCAGAGATTAGGAGAACTGTGGTTTGGGACTAGCCACACGTAAACATGAGATGTCATCTCAATCAACATGCCTGTCACCCTAGCTATGTGAGGAGTATAAACAGGCAGATGAAGGTCCAAGCCAACCTGGACGTTCGCTTCAGACCCCATTGGAGAAACAATCAAGGTCAAAGGGTATAGCTGGCGCCAAGTGGTGGAGCACCTGCCCTGATAGTGTGGGCCTTGGGAAGGAGTTGCTGAAGCAGCTTAAGCTCCCACAGACAGGAACGTGGATAAAACTCAGTGCAGGGGGGCACCCCACCCCACCCACGTATTATCCTGCTAGGCTCACCGTGGTCTAACTTGTTGGCTTTGACGATCTTCACGGCGTAATCAGAGATACTGGAACATTCGATCTGGGAGCCCAGGAAGAAGGGAGTGTGAGGGTCCCTGGGTCCATCCTGGGCCCCAGCCTCCTCCACCCACTCGCCAGGTCCTGCTGATCCTCTCCCCACACCTCCAGCCCCAGTGACTCACCCCGATGACCTTCCGTGCCCCAGCCTTGGCGGCAAACATGCAGAGGATCCCTGTGCCCGAGCCCACATCTAGCACCACCTTGTCTTTGAACAGGTGCCGGTTGTGAAACATGGAGTTGCGGTAGGTGAGGGTGCGAACCTCGTCCTTCAGCATCTCCTAGAAGAGGGACACTGGGAATGAGGGGCTCCAGTCCCCAGCTGGAAAACGGGGTGTCTGGCCTCCAACAGCTACATGGTGGGTCGGGCTCTATCAGACTCTCATGTTAGACCTTTATCCTAGGCTTTCAAAGCTCCGAGGCAGCCCAGTATGGTGGCACATACCTATAATCCCTGCACTCAGGAGGATTATGACCTCAAGGCCAGTTTGGGCTTCACAATGAGACTGCCTCAAAAAAAAAAAAAAAAAAAAAAAAATATATATATATATATATATTTGTCGGTTGTGGGGCTTGAATTCTGGGTCTGGGCGCTGTCCCTCAGCTCTTTAGCTCTAGGCTAGCGCTCTACCACTTGAGCCACAGTGCCACTTCTGGCTCTTTCTGGTGGTTTATTAGAGATAGGAGTCGCACGGACTTTCCTGTCTGGGCTGACTTGAACTGTGATCCTCAGATCTCAGCCTCCTGAGTAGCTAGGATGACGGCCGTGCGCCACTGGTGCATGGCTTTGCCTCAAAATTTCAAAATAAATAAATAAATATATTCAAAAGCCTAAGAATGGGAGAAGGGGCGGTGCTCATCAAGATGTCCTGACATGTTAAATAGTAATGGCCTTGTAGAAGCCATTTGAAGATTAAAAAGTCAATAAATGAAAAAGAAAGCATGGTAATAGCCCTGTGTAACCGTTGCCTAAACTGTACACTTCATTCCCTAGAACGCAGAAGGGGACCTGGGTCTCTAAGGAAGATTGGAAAAGCTGCTCCCCTAGGGCCTGAGCAGTTGGAGCGCGATCCCACAGCCGGCCACTAGAGGGTAGCAAGACACCGGCTGGCCCTGACCTCGGGCTAAGTCCCTGCTGCGCACGCGCCTCAGCCAGGCCGGCCAGGGAGAGCGGCCTGCGTGAGAGTACCAGGCCAACCTCGGTCTCCAAGGCAACGCAGGGCCAGGGACCCGAGGTGCCGGGCTCGCAGGCGCAGTAGAGGGGCTGCGGGCTGCCAGGGGCGGCAGTGCGTGTGCGCGTGCGTGGAGGGTTAACGTCCGCCCCTCCCGCAGCGGACGCCCCTCAAGACCCATCAGGCCCGGGTGTCCACAGCCCACTCACCTCGTGGATGCCGAAGTGGGCATAGGAATCAAAGTAGTAGTCTTTGGACGTCATGTCCTCTGCGTTGGGCTTCTCGCTGCTTTCCGCCTGGCCACAGGACACCTGGCAGGGGGCGGAGGCGGACCGGGTCAGACCTGGGTGGGCTCCCCCGGGCCAAATCTGAAGCCTTCGAGGGGTCCTGCCTCACCCTCAAGAGCAGCAGAAACCACCCGCCAAAGTCAGAGCAGAACCATCCTCCGGCCCCGATCGCCATGTTTCCTCCCGCCCCAAGTCTAACAACCCCATTCTCCACTTCCGAGACCCACCCCAGAGCACCGTCCAGGGGGAGCACCGATACCTCAGCCACGCCTACCATCTCTCCAGTCTCTCTGCCCCCGTCTCTAGCTCAGCCCACAGCTGGGGAGGGGAGGGGAAGGCAGAGCTGGGGCAGACACAGGGAAGGGGAAAGGAGGGCTGGAGATGGAGTTAAGGAAGTAGCCACAGTCTGGGGGGGGAGGGGGAGAGAGGCCAGCAGGGGCCAGGAACCTGGGGGGGAGGGGGATTTTGCACTGAGTGTTGGAAGGGCCATAGAGGGATCATGGTTAGAGTACTGGAGGGGCGTGGTGTGTGGTGAGCTAAGTGGAGGTGGGGAGGGGAGGGGGGGGTCTCACAAAAGGATATTTACTTCTTCAAGAGGCGGCTGGAGGCTCATCCCATTAGCCAAGGTGGCTACAAAATTCTAGGAGAGAGTAACAGGGAGAAAGGATTAGCTAATGGGAGCAGCTGGGAGGGCCGGCCCAGGAGATCCGGCTCTGGGGGACAGTGGCTTTCCTTGGTGGGGAGCCGTGGCAGACAGAGGGGGCAGGCATTGAGGAGGGGCTCTGTTTAAGGAGGGGATGGATGGAAGAGGTGGGGGGAAAGTCAAAGGATCTCCTGTCCCAGCTGTGGCTGGAGAGATGGTGGCCCACCCACGCGGTACACTTCCCTGGCCAGGGAGCTGACCCCACACACCTCCCCCACCCAGGCCAGAGGAGCTGGCACCCCACGGGGCACAAGGGCACAGCCAGCTGTCACTCCCCCCTCGCCACCTAATCCCCTCAGATTAGATGACACTTCCCTGACACACACACCCCTGCCCTAGGGGTGCCACGAATAGCTGGAGAAAGGGGGCTGGCAGGGAATTTGCACAAAGCATCTGTCACCTCTCCCCCACTGAGAGGATTTCAGAAAGGAGGTGTGGCACCCCCCCCAGCAGACACCCCATCCCCAGCTCTTGCTTTGACTTCAGAAATCACAACCAACCCGCTAGCACCATCTCCTGCCTCCCCCCCTCCTAGGAGGGTCATGTCACAGGGAGACAATCTGGCTAGTCCCTGAAGCTTCTGAGCAATGAGGATCCAGAAGGACCCTGGGGTGCAGGGCGGAGGGAACCAGAGCCCCACACTCCCACCCAAACCACCATCCTAGGTCCAGAAGCCTCAGCCCCTGGTTCAGGAGAACCAAGGGGAATGGATGGAGGGGAGGGGAGACTCAATGCAGTGACCCCAAGAGGGACGACTGACCTCCCCCCCCCGCACTCCAGACTTGCAAGGACGGGGCTGTATCTTTTCCACTGTCCCTACCTTCCGTGCTTTGCTTTCACTGGGTCAAACCACAGGTCATATTGACCCGCTGGACACCAAACCCCTCCAATTCCCCCAGATCACTGAGATGCAGCCCGGAACTAGGGTGGCAGGCGCGGGGATGTCCCACGGGGACCTATTTCTCCAACACCTCGGATTCCACCAGACGCCCCCATCCCAAGAGAGTTTACAGCTCAAGAGTGGAACCTCCCCCACGCGACTGCGCACCAGAAGCCCTCCAGGAAAGGGGCGACCGGATCAGGTCCCCACCCTCACAGATGCTGGGGGAAAGAAAGGGCTCCAGGGCTTATTATTTAACCCAGTGGGCCTCTGCCCACTAGAGTGGGCTCCGATGGGGAGGTGGGCTTCCAGCCACGCCCCATGAAAAAGATGCCCCTCCTACACCCCCAGAAGTGGCCACAAGGGGGTGTGCGGCGCCTTACGGCCATGGATCTCATTTGTCGAGATGTATACCCCACTACCCAAAGGGAGGTCACCGGGCGCAGACGAGCCCTCCACCCCACCCCAGCTCCTAAAGCTCCGGGTGGGGACGAAACCAGACTCCAGAAAGGGACGCGAGGAGGGCCGACCACATCTTTATTTTCTTCCCATCCCAAACTCAAAGAGTGCCTGGAACCCGAACCCGCGCCCCAGCAGACGCCCCCAGACCCAGGAAGCGGAGGGTTTGAGAGGGCCCAGAAGCAGTGCCCCTCCCACGAGACCCCCCGACGTCGTGTGGCACCAGGTAAATCCTGCCCACGGAGTGCGTCCCGATTCTCCCCCCGAGAGAACACGGGTGAGGGGGGGGTCTAAGAGGGAGGGTCGGAGCCTCCTCCCGCCCCGGCGCCCCTCCCCCGATCGGGGGCGGGGCCTTTGTCCCGCACGTGGAGCCCGCCGGGCCACGGAGATCGGCACACCCCCTCCCCACCCACCGCGCCGCGGCCACGTGGGGGCCCGGCCGGAAGCGCCCCCAGACCTCCTCCACGTGGGAGGGGGCAGGACCCTCGGCTCGCCCGGGTGCCCAGGGCCGCGAATCGCCAGGGACCCCCTCGCAAATGGTATCCACGGATCCAGAGCATGCGGCGAAACATCGGTACGGCTAGGGGGCTTTCAGCCCCAGTTTACCCACTCGGAGACCACCCCCCCTCCACCGCCGAGGCATAAAACCTGCGGCCCAGGCCGGCCCCGCGCCCCTATGGCACTCCAGGCGCTCACCTCCATGATGCAGTTCGCGGCCTCGGCTGCCGCCATCTTCACCCGAACCTACTCCTCCTCCGGCGGCTGAGACCCCCCCCTTCTCTTCACTCCCCCCCACGGGACCGCCTTATACCGGAGGGTCCACGGCCCGCCCACCACAACCCCGCCAGAAGTTCTCATTGGTAATAGAAGCAGCCGGATTGAAAATGTCAGGTAGCAATTGGATGATTTGGACGCCCATCAAACGTCAGGGGCGCCCATCCTGACCAACAGAGCCCCGCCCCCTCTCGTCGACTGGGATGGGAACAACTGCCTGCCTATCTTGGGAAGCGCATCTTCTGATTGGGCAAAAGCATCCAGAGGTTCCCGCCTCTTTCCCCGTCAGCTCCGCCTTAAAGCTTCCCGACGGGCTCAGCGCTCAGTGAATCTCTTGAAACAGAGCTATCCATCATCAAAGCGACCCGCCTCCGAGTCGCTGCTATTGGTTTACAGAAGATGACGTATAGAAGCCTTTAGCCAGCCCTCCCTAAAATACTTGCCTTAAGAAGACTAAGGGCCATTGGAGCACAGAGAGGGCAAAGGAACTAGCGATTGGCTTGAGGTGGTTGTCACTCATCGTCTATTCGGTGGATTCTTCCAAACCGAGGGGGGTTTCCGGGAGGAACAAGGGCGGCAGTGTCTATTTATCTAATGGGGAATAAACTCAAACGCTGAGTGGGAGAGAGAAAGGATGGGATTCTCTGGGGTCCTGAAATAAGCCAGGATGAGGAATAAGACGGAAATGTATTTAGCTTCCAGCCCTGAATCCAACTGTCCAAGTGTTTAAGCCCCGTCTCCCCCCTCCCCCGCGGTGCGCCGTGGCCTCTCCCAGGCACCGCCCCCGTCCGGGAACGCCCACCTCCCTTTGTCTGCTCAATCCCCACCGTCAGACGGCTGCAGCTCACGTGCCGCCTCCCTCGGGAAGCTGAGCGCTAGCCTGGCCCTGCCCCAATGCTGTCCTCGGTGGAAACGTGGGGTCCTCTCCGTTCCGCGAGCGAGCCCTGGGTCGGGGCCTAACCCGCTTTCCTAGTAGACTTGAAGATTTCCCAATGTGCCTTTTGTTTTGTTTTTGCTGGTCCTGGGGCTTGAACTCAGGGCCTGGGCGCTGTCCCTGAGCCTCTTTGTGCTTACGGCTGGCGCTCTACCACTTGGGCCACAGCGCCAGTTGCGGCTTTTTTGGGTAGTTTGTTGGAGGTTAGTCTCGCGGGGACTTTTCTGCCCTCGGCTGGCTTCCAACTGCAGTTTTCAGATCTTGGCTTCCTGAGTTGCTAGGGTTACAGGCGTGAGCCACGGGCGCCCAGCCTATGTGACTTATTAGCTCTCTGCCTGGCCCTCTACTGTCACTTCTCCCAGGGACGATCCCCTTCCCGGATCCCCAAATAAGAACAGCCCCTCCTAGCCACCAACTGGGCCACAGGGTCTTTCCCACCGCCTGTCAGTCCCTAGCACCATCTCTCTTCTGTTCCTAACTTAGTAGGTCCACCAGACTCCTCGGCCTCCAGTCTCTATAGTTTTCTGGTGGTTAATTGGAGATGGATGAGTCTCATGGACCTTCCTGCCCGGCCTGGCTTTGAACTGTGGTCCTCAGATCTCAGCCTCTTGAGTAGCTGGGATTACAGGTGTGAGCCCCCAGTGCTTGGCTGTTTTAATGTGTGTGTGTGTGCGCGCGCGCGCGCGCGCGTGCTGGTATCAGCACTTCAACTCTGCTCAGCTTCTCAAAGCTGGGGCTCTAGTACTTGAGCCAAGCCTTCCTTTTTTTTTTTTTCTTTTGCTGATTAATTGGATATGAGTCTCTAGGGTTTGAACGTGGGTGGCTCACGCCTGTAATTCTAACCACTCAGGAGGCTGAGATCTGAGGATCACAGTTCAAAGCCAGCCCAGGCAGAAAAGTCCCTGCAAGACTCTTTATCTTCAGTTAACCACTCAGAAGCTGGAAGTGGCTCTGTGGCTCAAGTGGTAGAGCGCTAACTTTGAGCATAAAGAGGCTCAGGGATGATGCCCAGGTCCTGAGTTAAAGCCCAGCAACTGACAAAAAAAAAAAGGTCTAGGTTTATGTGGCTATACTCCTAATCATGCCTATAATATTAAGATAGATAACAGGCATGAGCCACCAACACCCAGTAATAGCTACTTTGATCACTGGAAGTCTAAAAACATTGCTCTTAGCAAATCAACTTTAAATTTTGAAGGCAAAATTTGCATATAATGTCATGTGCCCATTATGTCATGGAATTTGAAACAAACACCTAAGTAATCACCATTTCCTGTTCAATTCATTAAAAAAGATCCTGCAGTGAGGAACTATTGGTGGGCCTGGGAAGGTGGCTCAGAGGTAGAGTTCTTGCCTTGCATGCATGAGGCCCTGGGTTCGATTCCTCAGCACCACATAAGCAGAAAAAGCCAGAAGTGGCACTGTGGCTCAAGTAGTAGAACACTAGCCTTGAGCTGAAGAGCTGAGGGACAGCTCCCAAGCCCAGAGTTCAGGCCCCACAACTGACCCCCCCCAAAATTCAGGAACAGTGCTTAATCCAAGTTCAAACCCCAGAATACAAGTGCACGTATGTACACACACACACATACACACACACACACCAGAGATCAGTAGATGTGATGCTGCACACCTATAATACCAGACATTGGGAGTGAAGAGAGTAGAATCACAAGTTCCAGGCCAGATTTAGCTGTCTCAAAAACAAACAAACAAAGACTGAATAAATAAGCCAACTAGCAAACCAGAGCTCTCTGAACTAATATTTTCCATTGACAATGTTAAGGCTTGAAACTGTAATACAGGCATGTTTTTTTTTTTTTTTTTTTTTTTTATTGTAAAGCTACTATACAGAGGGTCACAGTTACATGAGTGAGGTTATGAGTACACTTCCTCTTGAACATTGTTACCCCCTCCATTGTTTTCCCCCTACCATCCCCTCCCTCCCTCCCTTCCCCGAGGTTCTTTTTTTTTTTTTTTTTTTTTTTGATTGTGATTAAATGATTACATAATTTCAAAGTCACAAGTTCATTCTAACTTCCCTGGAGCAAATTGTCTACCACAGTCTGTAATATATAACAGTGTTCACATGTTATATACCATATTTGTGATCAGCAGCATGAGGATATTTAGTAGTGGTTCAACCAGATGAGCGGGAGTTCTTTGTTTCTTAAGTCCTGTTAGTTTTGTCGTATCACTAACCTTTTGGATTTAGCATCCACTTATGAGGGAGACCATGTACCGTTTGTCTCTTCGTTCTTGGCTTACCTCGCTCAACATGATTCCTTCTAGCTCCATCCATTTCCCTGCAAATGCCATTATTTTGTCATTTCTAATGGCTGCATAATATTCCATTGTGTATAGATACCACAATTTTTGGATCCATTCATCTGTGGTGGGGCACCTAGGTTGTTTCCATATCCTAGCTATTGCGAACAGTGCTGCAATAAACATGGAGGTGCACGTGTCCTTGTATATTGGTTCCTGTTGTTCAGGGTAGATGCCTAGAAGTGGTATGACTGGGTCGTAAGGGAGGTCAATCTTTAGCTTTCTAAGGACCCTCCAGACTGCTTTCCAAAGTGGTTGTATAAGTGTACATTCCCACCAGCAGTGTAATAGGGTTCCTCTTTCTCCACATCCCCTCCAGCATTTGTCGTTGGCTGATTTGTGGATGTGGGACATTCTGACTGGGGTAAGGTGGTATCTCAGGGTTGTCTTTATTTGCATTTCCTTCACCACCAGGGATGATGAACATTTCCTCATGTGTTTCTTTGCCATTTTTATTTCTTCATTTGAGAAGTCCCTCTTTAGTTCCCTTGCCCATTTAGTAATTGGTTTGTTAGGTTTGGGAGGGATTAGTTTCTTGAGTTCCCTGTATATACAGGATGTTAACCCCTTGTCTGATATATTGCTGGTAAATATTTTTTCCCAATTAGTTGGTTGTCTTTCTAGCTTAGTTGCGATAGATTTAGCTGTGCAGAAGCTTTTTATTTTAAGGTAGTCCCATTTGTCGAGTCTCTCTCCAACTTGTTGTGACCCTGGGACTCTGTTCAGGAAGTTCCTTCCTGTGCCTATTAGTTCAAGTGTCTCTCCTACTCTGTCCTGCAGTAGTTTCAGAGATTCAGGTTTAATGTTAAGGTCTTTAATCCATTTTGAGTTGATGTTGGTGCATGGTGATAGGCTGGGGTCCACTTTTAGTTTTCTGCATGTGGCTGCCCAGTTTTCCCAGCACCAGCGGTTGAAGAGGCTGTGTTTCTTCCATTGTATGTCTTTGGCTCCTTTGTCGAATATCAGCTGGCTGTAGGCCTGTGGATTTATATCTGGATCTTCTATTCTGTTCCATTGGTCTTCGGGTCTGTTTTTGTGCCAGTACCATGCTGTCTTTGTGATTATAGCTCTGTAGTAGAGTTTGAAGTTCGGCATGGATAGCCCTCCCATATTGTCTTTATCCCCTAGAATTGTTTTGGCTATTCTAGGTCTTTTGTTGTTCCATATAAATTTTTGGACTGTTTTCTGTATTTCAGTGATGTACGTCATTGGGATTTTAATAGGAATTGCATTGAATTTGTATATTAGTTTTGGAAGTATCACCATCTTTACTATATTAAGTCGGCCTATCCAGGAGCATGGGAGGTCTTTCCATTTCCTAGTGTCTTCTGCAATTTCTTTCTTTAACTTTTTATAGTTCTCATTAAATAGTTCTTTTACATCTTTGGTTAGGTTAATTCCTAAATATTTTATTTTTTGGGAGGTTATTGTGAATGGGGTTGCTCCCTTTATTTCCCTCTCTTCCTGTGCGTTATCAGTGTATAGGAAGGCAACTGATTTTTGTGGGTTTATTTTGTATCCTGCTATTTTGCCGAAGTGACTTATGATTTCTAAAAGTTTGGGGATGGAGTTTTTGGGATCGTGGAGGTATAGTATCATGTCGTCTGCAAAAAGGGATAGTTTCACTTCTTCTTTCCCTATGCGGATCCCTTTAATGTCTTTTTCTTGCCTTATTGCCCTGGCTAAGGGTTCTAGGACTATGTTGAAGAGGAGTGGAGACAGTGGACATCCTTGCCTTGTTCCTGTTTTT